AGAGAGAGAGAGAGAGAGAGAGAGAGAGAGAGAGAGAGAGAGAGAGAGAGAGAGAGAGAGAGAGAGAGAGAGAAAAAAAAGATGTCTCGTGCGATAGAGGTATAGAGAGAGAGGTTTAGAGAGAGTGAGATAGAGAGAGAGAGGTTTAGAGAGATTGAGATAGATGGATGCAATTATTTAGAGGGAGTGTGAGGTTTGGAGAGAGTGAGATTTGCAGAGAGTATGAGGTTTTGAAAGAGTGAGGTTTAGAGAGAGTGAGAGAGGTTTAGAGAGGTTTAGAGAGGTTTACGGAGAGAAAGGGAGAGAGAGGATGAGAGAGAGAGAGAGACAGTCGAAGAGAGGTTTAGAGAGAGGCACGTAGAGAGAGAGAGAGAGATATATATATATATATAGAGAGAGAGAGAGACATCAACAATTGATTCAACCAAATAGTCATTGTATTTGTATGTGACTCGATATGTAGCTGTCGATGTGTTCATTTTGTGTCTCTCTTTCTCTCTCTCGCTCTCTCTCTCTCTCTGTCTGTCTGTCTGTCTGTCTCTCTCTCTCTCTCTCTCTCTCTCTCTCTCGCAGCTAGCGGGATTTATGCAGCTAGCGTGCATGCTGTAATTTGCAGTTTTATACATAATTTGCAGTTTTATACAGGTAGCGTGCTGTAATTTGACATCGTAGTTCACGAAGGGCGTATCCTTGCCACCCCTGGTGGAACCATGGCCCACTTGCCGCATCCTTCCCACCCTTTGTTGAACCATGAGCAAGCGGCACATCCTTTTCCCCCCTGCGCTGTGCACGTGCACGGATCTCGAAACGACACGAACGTTGAGGACGCAACAGGGGAGGACTTCGATTTGGATCCTTGGATGACGGTCAAGCCTTATGAGGACGAACCCCTGGACTTCTGGCGTGAGGAAAAGTGGGAGAACATGATTAGGGAGTGTTCGTGGGCAGATTGCTACAAGTTCGCCAGCATGTTGGAATTTGGAAGTTTGATTCCAATTCCTTCTGAGGCGCTGGGTTCAATAAAAGCACCTCATTTGGCAAACATTTTCAATTTCGATAGGCTTGACGACGCCGTAAACTGCGAGTACATAACGACTTGTCCACGCACATGGTCTTTTGCGAGGAAAGAAGAGTTGCTGAAATGTGCGGGACATTGTGATTTCATAGAAGAGTATCCGTTGCGATGTTTTGGTCTGTCGCCTCACGCAGTGTCATACTGCTGTGTGAGATTGTGTTTGTCACATTTGACACACGCAGAGTTTTGTAGGGTCCTTTGCATTGCATGTTCCAACAAGAAAAGAAACCTGATTGACGCTGTTGTTTACGTATCGAGAAATGAGTTGGTAGTAATGAAGGAGTGGGGTGTGCAACCTGTTCGTAAAAGAATTATTGATTGGAGAAAGGATATAGTGACCGGTGGCCCGGTGGACGATGCCAGGGCGTGGCGCGAGGTCGAAAGAAAAGTGGTGTGTATACGTGATGCTATAGGCTGTTCTCTTGTCCAAAATTCCGGCTTTGTACGTATGAAGTATATTTCTGTGTTTTCGATGAGGGCCAGGGACGAAGAAGCAGAACTTTTGACGTTCGGATCGGTGTTAAGGACGATGAGCGGTTATTGCAGTGGTGAGACAGTTTGTCGTCGTCGGCAGTAGCTCTGTTGTACAAATGTGTCATTTTTGGTTTGATCGTAATTGAGATTTTAGAGATAGAGGTTTGGAGAGAGGTATAGAGAGAGATCGAGAGAGAGAGAGAGGTATTTAGAGAGAGAGACATTCAGAGAGAGGTTTAGAGACATGAAGTATGTGTTACTTTTGGTAGAGGTTGTGATAGTGTGTGGATAAGCATGGAGAGGAGATGCCAATGTGCAATTGTGTGAAATCATGGACAATGACATATTTGGTAACTGTTGAGACTCGATATGTAGATGTTTGTGTGTTCATTTTGCGTATACATATATATATATATATATATGTATATATACACACCAGTACATGCAAATATGTGCACAGAAATACTTGCATTATTCATGCTTTATTTTGTGCATTATTATTATTATTATTATTTTTTTTTTTTTTCTCACAAGAGAGGCAAAAGTGAAGATGTATATGCAGTGCTTTCACATACGAACATATATATACAGACTACGAATGCAGTCCAGTTCATAATACTCCATTTAGAACATGTCCCCAAGTGAAGATACTCGATGCAGAACATGTCCCCATCAAGTACGAATGCAGGGCATTTTACAAAGTAGAAATCTCTCTTTCTCTCTTTCGCTCTCTCTCTTTCCCTATCTCGCTTATATACATACAGACATGTGCACATAGATAAACTTTCTTTGCATGTAAAACATGTCCCTATTACCCATGAAGATACTCCATGCAACATAATATGCCCCCCCCATACAGAAGAAGCAACACATACACATCCAACTAACCCGCCATGCAGAACATGTCCATATGCAAAATCAAACGCCCATGCAGAAGTAACCCCCTCATATGCAGAATCAAACTCCCATGCAAATTGAAACCCCTCATGCAAAAGTAAATCCGCATGCAAAATCAAACCCTTATGCAGAACATGTTGTCCATACGCAAAATCAAACCCCCATGCAGAACGTGTTGAACATGTCCCCATGCAAAATCACCCCCCCGTTGCAGAAGTAAATCAACCTCTACCAAAAGTCCATACGCCATGCGTAACATGTCCATATGCAGAATCAAACCCCCCATGCAGAAATAAAGCGCCATGCAGAACATGTCCATATGCAGAATCAACCCCCCCATGCAGAAGTAAAGTGCCATGCAGAACATGTCCATATGCAGAATCAAACCCCCCATGCAGAAGTAAAGCGCCATGCAGAACATGTCCATATGCAGAATCAAACCCCCCATGCAGAAGTGAAGCGCCATGCAGAACATGTCCATATGTAAAATCAAACCCCCATGTAGAACATGTCCATATGCAGAATCAAACCCCCATGCAGAATCGGACCCCCACGCAGAACATATCCCCATGCAGAACATGTCCATATGCAGAATCAAACCCACACAGCCTGAAGGAACAACTCCTTTGGATCCCGGAGTGGATGTGGCCGAAAATGTACGGTATGGAGTTGACTCTTTACAGAACATGTGCATATGCAGAATCAAACTTCCATGAGAATGAACCCCCTTTGCAAAAGTAAAGCGTAACATGTCCATATGCAGAATCATACCCCCCATGCAGAAGTAAAGCGCCATGCAGAACATGTACATATGCAGAATCAAACCCCCCATGCAAAAGTGAAGCGCCATGCAGAACATGTCCATATACAGAATCAAGCAAACCCCCCATGCAAAATCAAACCCTCCATGCAGAATCAAACCCTCCATGCAGAATCAAACCCCCCATACAGAAGTAAACCCACATGCAACGTACGTCCATATGCATAATCGAACTCCCATGCAGAACAACATGTCTATATGCAAAACATGTCCCTATGCAAAACATGTGTATATGCAGAATCAAACCTCCATGCAGAATCAACCCCCTATGCAGAAGTAAACTGCCATGCAGAACATGTCCATATGCAGAATCAAACCCTCATGCAGAATATGTCCCTATGCAGAACATGCAATATTAGTATTTTTCTACATGTTTCCTTACCATTGACATGTGATAATTGTCGTAGTATTAACTATTTCGTCGATTACAGAATAACAAACGTTGTTGTGAAGATTGAATCAACAATGAAATTATCATAGCTCGTGAATATTGTCATAGTAATATACAATGTTAAATTTCACACGGTAAGATTACATTACAACGTACGCTATTTCGAAGATGACTGCAATTTTCATATGACATCATAAGTGTGATATTATAGACACGTGAATACAAATTTGTTGGTGCTGACTCGTGATATTTTTCACATAAACTCATAACTGCGATACTATTCAGTTGTTTTTCACACAGTTCAGCACCACCGACCTGTGTTGATTTCCAGAATAGCTCGTACGCAGAGCATGAGGATTACATAATGACATAAGCTATTTTGAAGAACATTGTCAGCGTCCTACATGCCTATAAGTGTCGTGAACACAGACTTATTGGTGTTGACTCGTTATATTGTTCACAAAAACTCATAATTGTGGTACTATTCAGTGCTTTTGTACACGGTTTCTCACCAAGAACTTGTGATGAACGTCAGAATAACACCTCGGTTTCTCACCAAGAACCTGTGATGAACGTAAGAATAACACTTCGGTTTCTCAGGAAGAACATGTAATGAACGTCAGAATATACGGAGTATAAGGATTACATAAAAACACACGGTATTGTTAGCGGCCAACATGCCTATAAGTGTTGTGAATACAGATTTGTTGAACCTGACGAGTGATATTTTTCATATCAATTCACAACTGTGATACTATTCGGTGATTTACTACATTGTTTCTCACCCCAACATGCAATGCGTGTCAGAACAACTTTCATGTATGGAGTATAAGGATTACATAACAACAGACGGTATTTCGACGACGGTTGTTAGCGGCCAACATGCCTATAAGTGTTGTAAATACAGA